ACACATGAAAATATTTAAATTAAGCTCCTTTAAACTTTTGTGGTTTTCAGCGGCTTTGAGCAACAATGTTACATAAATTTATGTAAATTGTGCCCTAATGCTTTGTTCTGTAACGAAACTTTACTTTAAGTACACATACTTTACTTAAAATATGCATAATTGTTACAGATTAGTTGATTAGGTTTGCGATTTTTATCAAGCATTCATGAGTTGCATTTACAGATTCATCTGTTACCTACAGATGAATCTGTAAATAGCAGTATAACGTTCCAATCATAATCGCAAAGCTACAGGTATTATGTGCCTATTTCGAATAATAGTAGATATTTATTGATAATACACACAGTGTCATCTAGTCCCAAACTAACCAAAGCTTGTATTATGGGACCAGACGACTGATACAATATGATATAATTTTTTTTTTTAATATATACATAGGAAACGACCTTGAGACCATGGGATGTTAGGCGGTGTGCTAAATCGTTAGACTACCGTGACCGTATAATTTTATTATATAATATAGCTCCAATAGTAGATAAACAAACAGATCCTTGACATAAAGAGACTTCGAAATAAAATTCAACAAAAATTTCTGATGCATAGAAAATACTAATAAAACTGAAGTCACTCTAAAAACATCCAGGTAGAGTTTGTAAATAGTCGTCTGCGAGGGTGACCCAGTATAACATATTTCAGTCGATAAACAGTTTTGTAAGCTGTTTCGCTTTAATGGTGAGATAAAGCAGTGAAGTTATAGCATTTAAAAAAATAAAATTGTTATGATTCAGTTAAATAAATAAATTACAGTATTTAAAGCAATATAATCTTAGTCCTCTGAAAGGGCAACGCGTGAGTGGTATCACGGGTGTCTAGGTTTATTAGATTATTGTGATTTCAAAACCAAACTGCTGAACCAATCTAAAAGAACTTCTGTGAAACTAATCTGATAGTATATTATTAAAATGAAAAGAGATTTTTCCAATTCGGTTTACAACCGACTGAATCCTAGGTAACAGAATGGAATACAACCGAATTATAACAGGATCCGCGACATCTTTTTTTTTGGAGTTGCCGATTAAAATTTTCCTAATTACTGTAGATTAGACAGGCCTAATCCTCAGTAAAAAATCTTAGATGTTTATAACTAAAACATTCCACGTTTAATACGAACCTTTTAGAAGAGATTTTAGGTGCCTGAGCGTAATGAAAAGAAAATTACTAAACGAAAACTATCTCTGCGGCTTTCTGAGTAATATGTAATACTATTCACGTTCCTCGAAGGATATAATCATACATATAATAAGAACCGTAAACGAGCCTTGCCTGTACATCATTTTCTCAGAAAAATAAACGATTTATATACACATACGTCGTACTTATGTTACAGAATTCAAAATACGTTTTCAGAATATTTGTCTATTTTCCGTTTAGTATGCACGACGTAACCGATTTGAGTGCGGATTTCACTGATGTTGTATTATATTGTACTAGCTGTGCCCGCAGTTTCACCTGCGTGAAATCTATATTCTATATGTTATTTTGATATATAGGCTATATTGTTATAAAGTTTAATTAAAATCCATTCAATAATTTTTGCGTGAAAGAATAACAAATATCCATCCTAACAGAGAAACTTTCACGTTTATAATATTAGTAAGATTTCCGTAACATTTTTTATTGTTTCATTCTATAAAAGACAAAAAATAGCTAGTTTATTTTATATAAATGCTATATTATTCCAAATACGACGCATATAAACTTAAGAGCAAATTTTGTCTAATATGAAGTACTCACATAATATTAAGCAGCTAAAACATTAAGCTAAGAGAGTATTAGACTAATTAACTAAGCATTAGAGTAATTATTATGTACCTATCCGTCAAAACAATACCTACATAAATAACCACTTCAAAGATGTATAGATATCAAAGGTAGTGTCATGCCTAACTGCATTTATCAGAATAACATTTTAATTTTCAGAAGGTATATTTTTAATGATTATAAACTTAGAAGAAAAAAGCTTTGCTTAGTGTGAGACTATTGGGGCTATATGAATTGTCCTAGATTATTATTATTATACTATATAAGATAACATTGTTAATTATAAATATATTTACGCAAATTTCTATTTTTGTAAAAGAATACATATCTGTACTTACACTAATTTTAGCATCTATTTACTATATGACAGTCAGCTCTGTTTGCGCAAAAGGCTATCCTGCTTATACCACATAGTAATTTATTTATTTATAAATACTATATTTTCTAACGTTGTTTTTGAATAAGTAAATAAGTAAGCTAAGAATGAGAAAACTGGTAAACACTTAAAGTATGAGATATGGCAGTGACAATAAACATATTCAACAATAGCGGAGATATAATAACTGTATCCTTAGGAAATACAACTATTATGATATTAATCATGGCCTTCACAAAATACCTTAAGATGTCCGTTATGTTGTTCCACGGTTATTTTTTTTGGGCACCCATTTTCTATTGGGTTTCGCTTGTTTGACATTCCAATTGTATGAAAGAATAACACGGTCGATTGTACCTACGTCAGGCGAGAATAAAAAATATGTCCTTATACTTTATACTTATATTCTTCCTTTGTGTAAATAATATACGCAATCAGTCCAGTCTAGCTTTCTATTCTACAAACTATTCGCTTGTTCTATTAGACCGATCATCTTCACACCCCGATGGAGATTGGTAGAGACTTTGAGAAAAGAAAGGAGATATTTCGGACTGACTCTTCAACCCCATTTTTTTACGAAGTATTTTCCCTAACAATTTGATTTGTACACGTCTATCTGAAACTCCTAGTCTGCTTAAAAATCTTTTGACATTTAATTGAAAAACAGTTTGGAACACAATAATATAATTAGATAGCTTTATGCATAGATACTTAGCACGCAGAGCAGTATAAATGCGTACGTCTGTAGCCACACTACGACCATGAAATGATTTCTCAGAAATTCATGAGAAACTGAATTTTATATTTATATTTGATAACTGTAACCGATGCTCTGTATATTTAATTACCCTTAGTTAATTAATAGTGGCTTCATAAATTTTATAACTTCCTTAAATAACTCAATTATTTAAAAAAAATAGATATATTAGCGGTAAATACTTATGGATAACATACACAGTTCCATTTAGATCGATCGAAATTAGGACCGTCCGTTTTATTTTAATACATGGTAATGTAATGGGTACACTCTCTAGCGTTAATGGTATGTATATGCTGGAGGGGCACTAATGGAGAACAATAAAGTGATTATAAGGTCTGTACCATCGTGACGAATTAACTAAAATAGTATGCAGGGGGACAGAGAGAAGATCGACTTGACATTGTACCTACATTGCTAGTAATTCAGTCCTTGCTATTTACAATACTCTTCTACCCCTATTATGAAAACACATATTGAAATACCTATTTAGATAGACATTTTATTCGTTGGGGCGGAGACGAATAGTCTGTTAATATAAGTAGATATATATAAATAGTCCACGGTGTAACCAAACAATGGTGGTTGCTGAACCAGCAAATCAAATTATAATTCAACGAACGTCGAACGCTCCAATGCTCTCCTTATCATTTTATAAATTTATTCACAGAAATGGTTGTTACATTTTGAGAATTTTTAACCAACAACAAATAGGAGGTGTAGGTTTTCATGTTAGGTAAAATATTCACATTAGTTTGTTATGACTATAATTCATTTATCCAGAGCATTTATTGAACAGCGCTTTGAGGGTTAAAATTAGGTAGGCTAGGATACTAATATATTTCTTTTTCTAGAATTGTCTTACTCTGTCTAATCTTTCTAATTATAAACGCGAAAGTTTGTGAGTATGGATGGATGATCGATGTTTATTACTCTTTATTACAAAATCTACGGAACGGACGAATGAATGAAACTTTACAGTAATATAGGTAGATTATATATCAAAATAATATATAGGCTATAACTTAATAAAGCTTATGTATATTATATATTGGGCTTAATATAATGACAAGTAACTGTGATATAGACGCGGAACAGCAAGTTTAAAAAACATATTAATAAGTCTCTGTTACTAATACCATAGTCTGAAACATTTCTACATTTATGATGAACACAACATACGTAAAATGTGGTTACTAAATACATGAATCCAACGCGACAGATGCCTCCGTCTCTCGTATTATTTACTTTGTAATTGTACTTAAGTACTTTGTAATTTGGAAACTTTAAGCCGTGTAAGAGACGGGACAATTTTACTTGTTAATTGTCTTGTCATTTATAATACTTTATAGTATAGTCGTAATTTAATGAGTTAATCTTTATAATCTATATTTTACAGCATTTTGTTTAACTCAAAGATATCTTTATCTTTTTTACGTATAGCCTATGCACACACACTACTTTACTCCCACGGTTTTGTTAGTTTTAGCACTTAGTATTGTATTTTTCTGTATATCTGTTTTGTATTGTATTTTGTTGACTGATCAATGTAAATATATCTACTCTTTTATTTTTGTTGTTAATATTACATTGATTTGTGTGTGTGTTACACCTTTAACGTAAATAAAAAAAAATCTATCTATGTATCTCGCCAATCATATGAGTGGAGAGTATAGTTATTAATGGTGATTAGGGCTTCATGTATAGCAATGTACCATAACAAATCGTCTACCATGCCTACTGGAATCCATTGTGCCAATTCCTAGTGAATTTGCTACAATAGCTGCCTTTACACGTATGGTCTAACACGCTCGAATTCTTCGTTCGTGCGTGCTTGAGCGGTTTTTTAAAATAATTAATTATCTTTTCAAAATGGCGGACATCAGAGTAATGATTGAGCGGGCTGGATTTCCCGTGCTACTATAGTAATATGTCGCGTAACGGCAGCTAATAGACTCACCAAGCTAACTTCATGCTCATCCAATAATCTTCCATAAATATTCATAATAAATTGAAAGTCTATATATAAATATTTATCTTCTTCAGGTACTACGCAATATTAAAGCCGCTGAATGTAACATGGGAAGCTCGAGTCAAAAGAGCACTGTCCATTGCCTGGGCGTGTGCCGGCCTCGCCAGCCTGCCGCAGAGCTTCATTTTTCACGTTGAGGAACACCCTGACGTTAAAGGGTAAGAAGTACTTTTACTCATTATTAATAGTAATAATAATAACCCTGTGAAATATACACAACACTATCTAGTCTCAAGCTAAGTAGACCTTGTCTATGGGTACTAGATGACTGATATAAATACACAGATATATTTTTTCTATAAACATATACAGTCAAATCCAACATATTACATAGCTTTTGAACTGTTAGCGTTTAAAATGACATTAGCGTCCCATCTACATATAAGACCAATTACAGGACTTCTGACAGATGGGGCTATAGTGTCAGACTGCAATAATTGGCGCCTTCGTAGATGATAGGATAGGTATTCAATTATATATAGAAAAAGGTTTATCGTTATTATTTGATATAATAACTATCGAAGGATCACTTATTATTGTATCAACTATTTATATTTTATGTTTATTTTTACTATTTATTAGAAAACGAACAGTTTACAATCTAATACGGAAAATCGACAGTACATTTCTAGTGAAAGCCAATAACAAATTTTTAGAGATTTATCAAAGGAAAAACAAAATGTATTGGCAAATAGAATAAAGATTATAGGTTTTAGAAGGTACAAACCACATACAAAATACGCAATGAAAATAATAATAGAAGCATTTATTTTAAGAACTCTGAGAATACAGTAAATCTATCTGAATTAGAAGTCAATCCGTGTGTACATATGTTCATGACAGGTGTGTGTGTGTGTGTGTGTGATAGAGAAATAATGTATGAAAATATTTTTTTAGATGGTGGTTAAATAGTAATAATAATAGTTAGGTTTTACATGTTCTTATAAAGTACCTAATATGGACTGGGTTAAAGGGATCTATGTCTTAAAGTACTATTAAGGATGATATATATTTTTTATTTATATTAGAGATTAAGATACGATTGTGTATATCCTAAAAATGGACAAAAGTCCTTAAAAAAGGATGAAAACACGTGAAAATATGGAATTTTTATTATAAGAAAAAGTAGTACTGAGAATAATGCTGTTCGATGTACACATTAAAGCAAATTACACATAGTTAGCAAAAAAACTTAAAAAGTAGTTAAGTTATCTCAGATATCACAACATTATACGGTAGGTATATATACTTTAGTAGCTCATGAAGCAAGTTGTATATAGATAAATATAAATAGCCGATATTCGGTAAACGAATATTTGAATTGGAATATGGAAGCGCCAGTCGATTCCCATTATCTATTCGATCCCTTCAAATCAAACCATCCATCAAATAAATAAGAACGGCATTGAAATTGGCGAGCTATGATATCAGAGACAGATACCTCTCTATAATTAACTGTCTATATCGTACATATATGTATATATATACAAACAAAGGCTTCTGCTTCTAAATTTCTAACAACCTTATATTTTCATCGGGTGTTAGAAATCAATATCAATCAATATAATTATCTATACCACAGATATACAAATCTTAATCTTAATTATATTATAAATGCGAAAGTTTGTTACTCTTTCACGAAAACTACTGAATTTTGATGAAAGTTTATAGTAATATATAGCTGTCTGTGTAACTGTTATCTATATATATAAATAAATTTGGAGTCCCTATTTGCAATATTGAAATAACCGTTTTTTACTACATGCATACGAATATAAATACGGTACATACACCAAAATAACATTTTTTACCATTTTTGTCTGTCTGTCTGTCTGTCTGTTTGTTCCGCCTAATCTCTGAAATGGTTAGACCGATTTTGACGGGACTTTTTTTATAAAGAGTAACTTACTTTTAATTTAGAAAAATAAAGTTAAATTCTACGCGGACGGAGTCACGGAAACAACAAAATTACTAAATATAGCTTTTTATTACTAACTGTCTAAACCATTTCACGTGAAGATAGATTATATTACGAGGACACACTGGTTGAAACTAGTATACCAATTAAGGAGAAAAATATCAGACTATATATTTTTATGTTGACTTGTTTACTTAAGCAAAGATTTTCAAATTGCAAAAAAATTATTTCATGTTAGATTCGTAATATTTTTATCTACCTCAAGCTTAATCTTTACAAAATAATTTAAAAAATACCTATCTATGTAGTTAAGTTTTTTTTGCGAAGATATCTTTTTTATACTATAATAGAATATCGGCCTATAATAAGCGTGTTAGTTTATAATGAAGTTAATAAATTACTGATTATTAATTAAAGCCAACAATTAGTTTCTTAATCGTACTCGATTGGATGAAAATATTAAACAATACTTAAATACATTTAAATCTTAGGAAAAATAATATTTAACTTCAATAAACTTTAGGTACTATATTTCTACAAGGGTGCCAAAAGAGAACATTTTCCGAATAGAACATTACGTAATAAAATAAAACTGTTCTTTTTCTTGAAAAGGAAGATAATGGATTTCCCATTGTGAGTAAAGTTATGTATAAAACTTTACTCGCAGTGGGAAATCCATTATCTCCCTATTATCTTCCTTTTAAAGAAAAATAACACATACTACTTGATATAATATATAGTAAGTCTTGTGTAATTTTGAGACGAACTAATTATGAAGGCTAGAACCAAAGACGTACTACGAGCTAGTTCACAGATCCTCTGCCCTTTTGTTCGTTAGTTTATGAATTTGACTAAATACTATAGAGATCTTGATAAAAAGAAACCTAGAATATTTTCGGGATAAAATTATAAAGATGTCGTCGAAGATTAAATAAAACAAGAATGTCTCATAAAAACAGATACGCACTACATTTGAGGGCTTATATAAACTATATCAATTTATGGCCTAGAATTTGGCTCGTTTTCTTTTACTACCTGTTGTACCTTGTAACTGTTTCATTCTTTTAGTTCTTGTGGCTAACTTGAGTCCGTGAAAATTTATTACTATACATTTTAATAAAAGAATGAAACAGTTCGCAAGAGCCCTGCGAACTAACTTGAGCGGATATAAACTATTATACGCAAGACTGCTAACTTTTCTCACAATATGATATCCATTATCCACCTTTATTCCTTTGAATTCGAGTTATGTATAAAACAGGCGCAATGTCTTTGACCTTCCTAAATTATGTTCACAGGTACTTCCAGTGCGTGTCATACGGGTCGCTGCCTACTGAAGACCACGAATTCGCGTACTTCCTGGTGAACATGTTATTGATGTATGTAGCACCACTCGTGTCAACGCTCTATTGTTCCTCCGCCGCGCTATTAGAAATCATCCGGAGAGCGAACACCGCCAATGGTAAGCGAATATTTCGATATTCTCATTCCGAAAAAGAAAACATTGATTACATTGGTTTGCAGGTTTTTTATTATACGCCATGGTTGATAAAGATTTTAATCAATTTGTTACGTGCTGGGGTTTTATCATACATTTACTGTTTAGCATATAAATTACTTTTAAAATCTCTATTGGGTGTATGGGAACAACAAAGTAAACAAAAATTTACATTTAATTCTTTATTTTCCATAAAGTGAAAACCCATCTTCAGGATAAAAGTTTTCACCAGCTAATTAATTTTGAAATAAAAAGGTCTTGAAATAAGAGTCAATATAAAAGTTATATTGACCTAATAATTCACAATAACGATATTATATGTAAAAACAATTCAATTCTTAAGTCTTATATTCGAGATATGTTCATGGTTTTTATGATGGTATGACTGGATTGTCTATAATAATCTTCTTGTCTAACAATTAAAGTCTTTGCGATTTACCTCTATATATACGTATTACGAGACGTTTGTATTGATAAGGTGAGTGAATGAATGATTCAATAGAATAGAATAGAATAGAAAATCATTTATTCAAATAAACTTTTGAATAGTCATAACAATTTGTTTTTTATCTACCACTCGTTCGGAAAGCTGTCTCATCACAAGAAGAACGAGCAAGAAACTTGTGTGTTGCTCTTTTAAATAATCCTTGTAAGTTTACATTTACAAGTCGAAACGTGTGAATACAGACTACCAACAAGCACTAATTTTTGGGTCAAATATAAATATGCAATAAGATTAAATCATCGTAGTGATAAGAGCAGACCAGTCCCTACAAGCAGCACTCGTTCACGAGTATGAATGAGCCAGCCATCACTGCGCTCGACCATATTTTAGGGAGCCCATTGACCCGGCCCACCACGCCGCCACATGTCTGGACATTTTAGTGAGCATGACTACTCATTCCACACGACCACGTCACAGCTATAATTAAAACAGCAATAAATGAATCAGTTCATCACAGTGAAAAATTCACCTTAAACTAAACCTTTAAAAATTATACGATCCTATGCAATGTCTCTTTTAGCTAAGATAATCAAAATACTTTACAATTTAGTATTTGAACACTCAACGACAATGATTTTAAGTGTTTTAATGATGCAATATTAGATCAACGAACGGGGACTATTTCATTCTACAATTATCAAATAATTCCTTTCATTGGCTTTCGTTTATTTCACTAGTAGTATATGACTCATCAAGAAGATACTCACGATTACCCAACTAGTTGATCAATCGGTCTAACCTTTCTATATAACACATCACAATATATCTACTTTTCTGAGGGTCAGAGAGTTAACGAGTTTTCAAGGATGGGCAGCGCCCTTGATCCTTAGTTACGCTTCTGAATTCCCTGAATTACACCTTATAAAAACACCAAAAGTATTTTATCAACTATATAACTATTTTTCTATTCTATTCTCTTAAACTATTTTCCTTATTTTCAATAAGAACACAATTAAAAAGAGTACTTAGTTATATTTTCAATAGAATAGAATAGAATAGAATAGAAATAATCTTTATTCAAATAAACTCATTACAAGCACTTTTGAATAGTCATATTTTGATTCTACCACTCATTCGGAATGCAGATTCATCACAAGAAGAATGAGCAAGAAACTTGTGTGTTGCTCTTTTTAATAGATGTTTTTTTTTATATAAATAATTACAGTATAACAAGTAAGAGGCATGCGATAATCAACATAGAAGTCGCTACGCACTCATTATTAATGTAATCAGATAATATTCTCAGTGCTATAAAGTTTTTCTATAAAAACATTATTATCGTTAACGAATTCTTCAATTTTATAGTAAGCTTTTTTGCAAAGGAACTGTTTTATTTGACATTTAAATCTTTTTTCTGGCAGATTTATAACAGACTCTGGTATTTTATTGTAAAACCTTACGCAATTGCCATAAAACGAATTACTAACTTTAGCCAAACGACATTTAGGTAAAATCAGTTTGTTATTGTTACGTAAGCTTTTATTAGTGCAATCACTAACTCTTTTGAAACTGTCTATATTCCTTCTGGCATAGATGATATTTTCATAAATGTATTGAAAAGCAACGGTGAGGATATTTGATTCCTTAAAACACTCTCGCAATGACTCCCTGGAACCCATACCATAAATGGAGCGAATGGCCCTCTTTTGTAAAGTAAATATTGTATTTATATCAGCTGCTTTGCCCCATAACAAAATACCATACGACATAATGCTATGGAAATAGCTAAAATAGACAAGTTTAGCCGTTGCCACGTCTGTTAATTGTCTAATTCTTCTTACCGCGTAAGCGGCAGAACTAAGTCGACTCGCCAATTTAGTAATATGAGCACCCCATTGCAACTTGGAATCTAATGTGATACCTAGAAATACAGTATCGTCAACAAAATTAATAGATTTATTGTCCAATACGATTTTTGAATCGACCGGCCTTACATTGGGGAGAGTAAATTTGATACATTTAGTTTTATTTGCATTTAGTAGCATATTATTTGCCGTAAACCATTTTAAAACATAAGAGAGAGAACCGTTTACTTCGTCCATATCATCAATATGTCGATTGACTTTGAATACTAATGAAGTATCATCAGCAAACAGAACTATGTCAGCTATCTTTTCTACCATATAAGGAAGATCGTTTATGTAAACTAAAAATAAGAAAGGACCTAGAATAGAGCCCTGAGGAACACCCATTTTAATACTAGTTCCCTCAGACTTTACACCATTTATTTCAACAACTTGCATTCTATTATTTAGATAGGATTTCATCATGCATAGTGCTTCATATCTAATACCGTAATATTCTAATTTGAGTAAGAGTGTTTCATGATCAACGCAATCAAATGCTTTTGAGAGGTCACAGAATACACCGATAGCATCCTGTGACCTCTCCCAACAGTCAAAAATGTGTTTCATTAAAGCTACACCAGCGTCAGTAGTTGATTTACCGGCCGTGAAACCAAATTGCCGACTGTGAAGCAGTCTATTTATTTTAAAGTGGTGGGCATCTGATTGAGCATAATTTTTTCAAACACTTTACTTAGCACTGGTAAGATAGAAATGGGCCTATAATTACCTACTTCAGTTTTATCCCCTAACTTAAAAAGTGGAGTTATTTTACTATGTTTCATTAAATTGGGAAAAACACCGTCAAAAATACATTTATTGAAGATAGTTACTAAATATGGAGCAATAACATCTATAGCGATGTTAATAACTTTAACAGACATGCCCCAATGGTCTTCAGTATTTTTTAAATTTAATTGTTTAAATGTTTTCGTAATTGTAGCAATGTCAATAAATGTAAATTTAAATGTAACCGGACACGAAGCAACATTGTCAATAAGGAATGATTTAGCTGTACTTGGAGAAGAGTCCAAAGAGGACGTAATATCAGTTGGAATACTAGGGAAAAATTTTTCAAAAATATTGACTATTTCTTTTGTGGACGTTACTAGTTTATCATTATAATTTAACGTAAAATCATTATATGGACTTTTAACTTTGCCAGTTTCTTTATTAATAATATTCCACACTGTCCTAATCTTATCCTTGGATTCTTTAATTTTTTTATTTAGATAATTAGTTGCTACATTACATACCTTTTTAAAAGTTTTTGAGTATCTTTTTACATAATTTACGAATGTACTATCGAAACGGTATTTTTTTTGATCATATAAATCAAATAATATATTTCTACTTTTAACAATTCCCTTTGTAGCCCATTCTGAAAATTTTGTTTTGTTACTAATACTGATAGTTTTTTTGTTAAAAGCCTTATTATACTCGTAAGAAACAATATTGAAGAAATCTGTATAAAGTTTGTTTGGTTCATCAGATTGAGGACAAAAATCTAATTTACTACGAACTGATATTTTAAATTTATTGATCTTATAACTAGTCAAGTCTCTTTTTAATAAATTAATTTTCCTAATTTTGTTTACGTGATTTGGAAAAATTACTAATTGACCACAGTGATCAGAAGGAAGGTTGTTTAATATTATTTTATCTAAATATTCACTGTTGCTAAATATGTTATCCAAACAAGTAGCAGACGTGGCTGTGATACGAGTGGGTTCGTGGAAGACATTACTCAAGTCAAAAGATTGAAATAAACTCATTAATTTAGTTTTTGTGGTGTTATGTGATAAAATGTCAACATTGAAATCACCACACACTATAAATTTTTTGTTAATATTAAATACTCTTTTTAAAATATCCTCCATTACCTCTTCAAATAAATTATAATCACTATTTGGAGGTCTATATACACACATAACTATATAATTTTCTAGTTCCACGCAGGAAATTTCAATACAACACTCAACGGAAAGATTGCCAATATCACTACGTTCTTTTACTTTTATATTATTTTTCACCAATATCATGGAACCTCCTCTATTTACTATTTTTCTATTAAAGCAGCTGACAATATTATAATTGTTTAAGCTTAACATCATATTGCTCACTTTGAGCCAATGTTCAGTTAAACATAGAACATCTATATTATTTTTTTCTAAAAACAATTGAATAATTAATTCACAGCCGAGAAAACTTTGTATGTTCTGGTGAACAATTTTCAATTCTGATAGCTTTCCCTTTGTCTTTTTCAGCAGTTTAAATCTGCAGTCATATTTAAATTATTGTAAATAAAATGATGAAGAAATGAATAAAGAAGTTACTATATCCAGAACAATATAACTTGTATGTGTAATGAAAATCTAAAACTATTAGTTACGGAAAAAGAGAATAGATATTTATTTCTAAAACTTATATAAAAATATTTTACCAGTTTATTTTCTTGCCTGTTCTTCTCAACTGAATAGCTAGCCGAACTCTCAAAGTGTCCTATAGGAATAAATGTTATATTGGGGTAAGTTTTGTTTTTTTTTTTATTTCAGACAAAATGCGTCGAAGCGGAGTTGGGATCCTGGGTCGGGCGAGAGCTCGTACCCTCAAGATGACGGTGACAATCGTCCTCGTATTCTTTACATGTTGGTCACCATATTATTGCTATTGTTTGTGGTAAGTATTTATTGGAAAATAAGTGCGTTTGATAGGAATTTTAATTATAACGAATAAAAAGCTAATGTTAATTTTAGCGAATAAAAAGCAAATAATATTATGTGATTTATTAGGTTCTGGATAGACAAGGATGCGCTGAAAGACGTGGACCCTGCAGTACAGAAAGCAATGTGGCTGTTCTCATGTACCAACTCCTGCGCAAACCCCATAGTATATGGTGTCTTCAACAGGAACAGATGGACGTGGCGGACTGGACTTGTAAGTATATTCTTACCCCAAAGTATTTTCCATCAACCTTCACCGGTGTCGCGATAGCATATGTGGACAGACGGATGCACCATACCAATTATCACCCATAAAAAATCGAAAATATTTTGTATTAACATTTGTATGCAACATTGGGAAATATTGCATACTTCGGTTTTATGTGCATAATTCCGTTTATTGCCATCACTGAAGAGATTGCCAATAATGCTAAATCGACATTTGTATAATAAACCACTAAAATAGGACATTCATTCTGAGGTTTTATATTAAATAAAAAAAATAATAACACCTTATAATAAAAATCTTGGACAATCCGCGCCGTCTAGCCCTAAGCTAAACAGAGTTTGTGTTTTAGGTAATAGACAACTGATACAAATATTTTTTTATAAATATATTTATCTTTATAGAAAAATATTTGTATCAGTTCCTTCCTTAACAATCACTGATACAAACAACCACACTCCTGAATACAAATGTGTCGTCAGAAAAAACAAACCTGCGACTGTAGGAAGGAAAGCGGTATGGTCGCTAGACCAACGAGGCCATCTATAATACCACAGACAAATATTATATGACTATAAATTTACAGTTTTATTAAGCACTCAATAAGTAATCACCAGGCATGTTTAGATACCCAAGTACGGTTTCAATTGAGACGTATTCTGAGAATCCTAAATGATTAACCTATGGACTTGGGTGATATTTACACAGCTATAAAATTGAATCTGATTACAAACGGATCCGATTTCTATAGAAATAGAACTTTAAATAAAATACCTAACTAAATATCTGAGCTTATCTCCCAAAAACATTGTGACCGTAGGTTCTTAGAGCACAAAGAAAGCCCAAAAGAAAAAGAAAAAAGAAGAAAGCCGAAGCCCCTTTGTGGGTACTTACAAATCTGGGCGACTTCAAATAAAATGCGTATCCTATTATATTTCTGACGAATTCTCTGGTAATGTAAACACTTATAATAAACTCAGTATGCGCCGGTAGATTCGCTCCGAAATGTGAACATATCAAGTGTAGCGTTCACTAAAATTCACGCGGACGAGGTCGCGGGAACAGCTAGTTTATAATATAACTGAAACTTGTAACATCAGGACTAAGTATATTACTTTGATATAAAGACAAACAGAAGGGAATTAGAAATAAAAAGGAAAGTTACAGTTACCTATAATATGTTTATATTTCAATTACGCCATGCAAGCCTTTTGTGTAGGTACATATAGCTATATACTTATTGGTATTACAACTTAGTATTAGCACAACACATATTACAGAGAGTACTAATACTATTCTTTGTAACTTAGGGTAAGTTAAGAAATGCTGAAAGAAACTCAAAGGTGTTACGTATGTATCATTATTTTGGATCGCTACGAGATTGAAAAAGTTTCTAATTACTTAGTTTCTAAGTGATTATTTAGGCCCGCCCGACTTGTCTCAGGTGCTCATAACTTTGTGTATTTTATATATATACTACATAAAAGTCACAAAATTATGAATATAACATTTTACGGTCTCTTCCATATAACTTTTTACTGTATATGTCATTTCTGTCGGATGGAGAAAATTAACTTTATTCGTATAGTGAATATTATTATGAATAAATAAATTGGTAGATTGATTACAAACCTATGTAATTTGCTATACACTATGTGCATCTTAAATTTCATGACAGTCAAGAAATAACAAATGCTATTTTCATAGTACTTTAGCTTAGATTAAAGTTGCCCATTGTTCTGTTTTCCCAGGACATGTCCTATTTTTGAAGTGTGTGTTTATTCACTTATTTATAAAACAATAAATAAAAACAAATAGTAATAAATATTACCCTGTTATATTAAGTGTCCTTGAGAATAACTATGTATTCAATATTGTATGTATTCTGTGGTTATAAATGAAAATGTAAATAAAATAAAAAAATAGCAACCCTAGAATTTGACATATGGGGAAGTTGTGAATTAAAAAAAAACACATAATACATTGCGTATAATGCGTAAATTCACTCTCTATAATCCTGGTATTGACTGAGAGTACTTATCTGTAAATACTCTCTGTCTATACCAGATTGACTGTAAGAGATTGCCAATAACGTTAACCACGCTTTATAAAACATTTTTAATATACTTATTCTTATTGTTCTTTGTTTATCTGTGCGAAGTAAAGAGTTATAATAATAATAATCTCAGGACAATTTACATCGCGCCATCTAGACCCATGTGAAGCTAGCTGAAGCTTGTGTTATGGGCACTAGATAACAGATACAAATACATAGATATTTTTTTTCGTAAATATATACATATTATACATAAAAAACACCCAGACCGATACAAACAATCATACTCATTAATACAACTGTTTGTGCCGGTGCGAAGAAACGAACCCGCGACCTTCCATAGAGGACGTCAAAGTTATTTTTATTAATAATTTACCTTTCAAACGCTGAAAGAAGTTTCCATATTGGTACAGTAATACCAGAGTTTATTTTCCTCCTAAGAAAATAGCAACTCAATTACACGTGGGTAGCGTCACCGGACCAATATGTTTTTTGTTACAAAAACGAGCAAACTTTTTACAACGTTTTTACTTTCGTCGTACAGTGTACCCACAGAACAAAGGTGGGGAAATTTAGTTCTATGGGTGTCTGTCTGTCTTAGATATTTCTGCTGCCAAGCCTGTTTTATACGTTGTGTGTCGGTTTAAAGCGCAGTTTATTTATTAATCTATTATATTTTTACTTAAAAAACATATATTTAAATTCCAGAACACGAGATGTCGAAATGGCAACGTGCGCCGGGGTTCAAGACTTCCATACTATGGGGAATCCATGGAAATATCTGCAGCAACGCTAGCTCGAGCTCGCAGCTCGCTCCCCGAACGGAACAGCCAACGAGACTCGAATGGTACTACACAGAATGGAACTAAAAAGCACTTAAACAACAACAATCATGTTGACAATGGTATGGTTTAGTATTTAAAACTAATTCAAAAAAGAAAAGAAACGAGAGAATATCTTATATAACAGTTATTCTCAAATCGGTACAAAGAACCGTTATAACGTTAATTGATACAAATAACGAGTACGTTACTTCGGAAACGTGTTATGACGTTGTCAAATATTTGTAATGAATGAAATCATATTTTTATACTGTAAATTGAGTGGTGAAGTTCGCATAATTATTAGTAGTCATCAGATTTAAAGTCAATATTTGTAGATGTAAATTTCTTAAACTAATTGGTGTAATATAGGTTTTTTTGTATAAATAAATTTGTATAAAAGCTAGATTTAGAAACTAATTCCTATTAGTTTGTTACGTCAAAAGAATACGATATCAAAACATTATCATAGTAATGAGTTTTCCTGTGACCTTCAGTGCAAACATACATCTACGATATTTATCAACAGTTCATAATATAAATTACTAAAATTGTAAAGAAAGCTTTAAGCATCAGTCTGGACGTATATTTAGTATTTAAGTTTTTTTATGATTGTCGTTTATTACTATAATTGTGCCATGCCTTATAATTCAATGTTGTATGTATACATTCCTGTTTGTAAATACATATTTCGTTTAAATTATCTTAACTTGTTACATAGATATATTTTAATATAGGATACTCATGTGTTAAGATGGCAAGGATTCAATAACATTCCAATAATCATGACCTTATGTTGATAGTTCCTAAACGTTACATAATAACGTAATATTTTTTTAACTTATAAGACTGACTGACAGACCATATTGAGGTGTATTAAATATTGGATTGATGAATGAACCAGACAGTTAATTATATAACCTTCAAAAATTACTATAACGCCATCTGTCTCGTCTTACTCTAACAGCTTGTGATCCTTAAAAGGTTGTTTTTATACTCCTGAATACTTATCTTCATAATATGTAGGATGTTTTTTGTTTTATTATTAAATGTTGTCCCTTGGCTGTGAGGTGATTGAGACTAAGTTGTATGTTTTAAAAGATTGATTTTACCAAATGTTATATGTTAAGGTTTTAAGTGAAAAGACAAAGAGTAGTTTTTAAATAAATGATTGAATTTTGTTGAATATCTATTATCTTTTTACCTTACCTTTGAATATTTTTTATTCATAGCTAACTGGCCTGCTCTACTTCGTCTGTTTAACATCCCCCCCCCCCCCCTTCTGTAACATTTTTAGTTGCAACTCAGCTCATATAAATGGGATATCAGACACAAATATTTATCAGATCGAATCAGTAGTATCATGATTACCAGGAACGTCCACAGTCACAATATTAGTAAATATGGTAAGGAAAGGAGGGCTGTTATTAATAAATAATTCACACAATATGTGTTTATTAAAATATTTCACATCAACTATTTCCATATAGAGATATATCAAAGTTTAACAGACATTTACTAATAAAAGAGTTGCTACCAATATATCATTTGTACATCAGTTTGGTCAATTTTTGTGTTTACATATCATGATTATATAAGTAAGAATATAGTCGGAAATATAATTTATCAAAATAACTAGAATTTAGAGCTAGCTGCAATAAGTTAATCATAAACATTTTTGATCTAAGAATATCATACGTTATATTGTCTACCTAGTAAGTGATCGTAATACAGTATATAAATCTCAATAAATAAATACATTTAATCTTGACTTTAAACACATAGATTTTGGCCAGACGTCTTCATTTTACTATAAAACAACACCACTTAAAAACTAATGAACGATTTTTATATTCACATTCTACTTTACGTATTACACCACAAAGTTTTATATTATATATATAATAATTTAAATACTCTACAGTACAACAATGAAGTAAATATTAAAAATCTTTAGACACTTCAGTGCAAAAATGATTGCATAATATATTTAATGGAATGCAATAATGCAATTGATAGTCAATTCAACACTATATAATGTTTTCTATAAATAAAATATAACAACAACGATAACCAAGTCTTTGACTTGTATTATGGCACTTTTTAATAAAACCGAAAAGTTTTAGTGCATCCAAATAAATTATATTCATACAAAAATATTTGTCGTTTTAAACTCATCCTAAATTTGTTCATGTTCACATGTCATAACATGTATGACATGTTTTGTCTTAAATCAGTTAAAGTAGAAGGAAATATTTAATATAAATTATTTGTAACATTTATTTCCCTATAAGAAATTAATCTCAAAATCCATTCCACGATATCTCAAAATCGTCACAAGATAATCGAATATTTTTTGAGAAATCATGAAAAAGTTTTTAAGTACTATCATGTAGAATTAACCTGCTCGCAACTCAGCGAAAACGTTTATATAAACTTTATTGATAGTTAAATACGAGTATAATATATAATGGCACATTTAGAACACACTGACACATTATATTCACGTGACAATTACGTAATCGTTACATCTAATTACATCAAATGTATTTTATACGTTTCTTATTTTACAGAAATTTTCCTTTTTTTACACAGTAAAATATTAAATAAACTGTACTAAATTTATTGTCAACTTACTATATATAATACGGAGACATTATCCTCACATTGCTTCTGCCAATAAAATTATCAAACAAACATGTTATTCAATTTCAAAGACTAATAACAATACACAAACATTTTACTAACAAACACCGTAGAATCACACAACAGAACAATTTATGCTATTACGTTAATTACGTTATTGTCCTGGCGTAAAATAACGTTAACGTTATAATTGTTATACGAACACAAAACGGTTGTCAGTAACCGTTATTTAGCTGGACGTTTTGTCACTCGTCTAATGCTCGACTTTTCCTAGCTCCGTGAGTTCTTGTGCGGATGCCACCTCTCGGTCGTTTTGGTGCGCGCGCGTTTTATCAATATCTCCTTGTGACAGTGACGTTACTATGATGGCACCTAATGCATCACAGACCACGTTGATTGTTGTACGGAATCGATCACTGTAACGTATTTATAAACTAAATTAAGTTTATAATATAAATAATATTAATCAATTAAAAAACAAACTAAGAAAACATTAATTGGTAGTTCTATTAACAAGAAAAAATATGCAAATGGTGACATTCTAATATAACAAACACGCCTATAAACTCTATTCATTTGTAAAATAAGAAATATTTCACATGATAACCTGAAATATTTACAGTTCGTAGTATTCTTCATATATTTAGGTTACGGTTATCGCCGTTTACCATCAGGTGGGCCGGGCTGGCAGATTGTTTTCCAATCCAATTACAATCAAAAGTATTAATAAAAATATTGTTATCGTATAAAAATCGAACTCCCGACCATTAGAAAGCATGCTAACTGCTATACAGTTAACATACAGCTTTCTAATGGTCGGGAGAGACCGAGACAGAGTCATCGAGACCGTCAAGATACAAAACGTATATAGCCAAAGTAAAACAACCATTTGGATGGATATACTCACAGCAGCCAGTCGACCGCAAGGATGATGGAGACGTCCTCAGCAGGTAAGTTGACAGTATCAAGCACCATCACCATGGTCACCAGGCCAGCTTGCGGAATGCCTGCCGCGCCTATACTAGCAGCGGTCGCTGTTACACTGCAAATAGAGAAAAAAGTGTTAATTATAGAACAAAACTGTTATAATCAGCTGGCGCCATTTAGACATTATGGTAATGTTCCTTAGTCTGTAGTAACAGAAAAACAATAAAGTAGTCTGTGCTGAATTGTAATGACTCTAAAAATTATGCCTGAGCCTTCAAGAATTATAGAAGATGAGGTTTTGGTTTTGAAGAACGAAAAAACCTGAAATATAATTTTGATGAATACAAAATCTCTTTTGAAAAAAATAGAAAAGATTTGGCCATCCATTTGTGTAGAAAACATACTCTACGGAAAATTTACAGTTTGTATTTTCAACTAAGGGTTCGCGTCTCTTACAATGTTATTTTTATTTTTATGCAATGCTTTCGGCATTGAACTAATGTTTTAAATTTGAGTTTTCAGTTTAATTAATTTAACATTAATATATTATTTTGAATATATCATACATCTCACTTGACTAAGTTGTGTTTACCTACAAGCGCTGATAAAAGCAATTTAAATAGATCCCTCTCAGTCAGTAACAATTTTTTTTATATGTATAGATATTTATTTATTAGATAATGAGTTTTACATGTTTGGTAAGAAAAACCCCAAAATCAGTTTACATAATAATAAAAAAACAAAATATATATCACCTGACAGCAACTATTTTTCCAAATGACATTTCGACTTTCCTCAACTGGGCAATGAATATGGCTGCTACAGCTTCGTACAACGCAGTGCCGTCCATGTTGATGGTGGCGCCGATGGGGATCACGAACCGAGTGATGCGAGGGTCCAGCCCCATGTCGTCACAACAGCCGATAGTTATTGGCATCGTTGCGGAACTGGAAATAATCAGATAATACCTGTTATCTGCGACTTCGTTCGAAAATTAAAATTTGTTTTATTAAATTAAATAAATATTCCAAAAATAAAGTTAGCCTAAGTCACTCCTTAAAATATTAGAATTCTACGTGTAAGTGTAAGTGTGTGCTTTAAGAAAAATCGATTAAATATTTTTTTTTTGTGTTTTATTTCAGTTTAGTGAAAAGCTATTAATTTGAAATTACCAACGGACATAATTTATTTTTAATAAATAATGTTAAAAGGTCAATTGTATAAATAATTGCTTACATATCATATAATGCCAACTAGACGTAAACTAAGCACAGCTAATCCTAAGAGCACTAGACAAATTAGAAACAAATATTTTTAAAAGACATACCTAGAAGCGGTACCAAACGCTGTAGCCATGACTTGTCCCATCTTGGCCAAATAACGGCATGGCAGCTTTTTAGTAGCCAGAATAAACAGGATACTCAAGGTACCGAAGCCGTGGAGGAACAGTCCGAGGAGTACCGTCATGAAGTACAATCCTAATCGACCCACCAGCTCCGAGAACGAATCTATCTCCATGATCTTTGCGGTCACCAGAAAGAAAACGCCGAGTGGAGACAACCTGAAATAAAGAAGATTATACAATATACCTTTTTTTCGAACTACTATAATGCTGTTGACGGCATGACGAATATGACTTTAGTTTTTTCAGGCCATCTTAATTTTGATCCCCGTCTGAATTGGACGTGGGATCGATAGGACTTTCTGCCGGGGCGGTGCTGTGATTACTTTGACATATTACTACATTATAGTACCTATATTTATTATCCATTTTTACAGTATACTTGATAATATGCGATTTTATGCTTCCAATAGTGTTAACTTATGTCTGACCTACTTATATATTTTTTATGAATAAGACTTCAAACTTAGGTCATTAAAAATCAATAGGTATATATATAGATTTGAGGGGAAGGGAATTGTTAGTAATTTGGACTACTAATCTCATTGCTAGCAATGTACTATGTCAGATTGACCTAGAATCAACTATGGTGAAGTTACTAGAATGGGCTAACTGACCTCACCTCATGCTCAACTTATCATCTTCTACTGGTGCTCCGCCAGAAAATCATTAGCGCAGGCAGGTGCACCATTCATTTTCATACATTTGAAAATATATAATACAGGTAGTTGTTACATAACTAATTTCATTGCTCATACGTACGATACTGTGACAGTAATAAAATTACATTTACTAATGAATATTAATCTAACATCACGCAAAGGACATGGGTTAATTTCTCGAACTTTGAACTCTTTTCAACTCTGTGTGTGCATTAATATGTAACGTGGTTACAAACATTTGTTAGCAACCCTGATGGATGATTTTTAACAGATGATGTTTGATTTTGAATGAAACATTTGCAGTTACAAGCTACGCTGCGTGGTTCGCAGTTACAATTATTAAAGTATTCGTGATGCTGAAGCTGTAGGTAAACATTAATCTCAGATAAAAACTGTTAGCTACATAGATAATTTATTTAAGTTTTTATTGCTGTTTACTTCTTTCATAATAGTCTCTAATAAATGTTCCAGAATTTCTAAAAGACTATTCATTTATACTTTATTTATTATATTTTAATGTAATTTGCTATAGTTTGTACTTTTTTGTGATGTTTGTAGTTTTAATAATAGAAATTTGTATATTGCTCTTTTGAATTAATATTGCTTTAAATAAATACACATCAACAAGTAAGAGACATGCGATAATCAACACAGAAACTGCTACGCAATCAGATAATATGGTCAGCACTATTAATTTTAAGTTTTTCTACAAAAAGTTTAATATCATTTACAAACGTTGTAAGAAATTGTATAGAACAATATTGTTAGAATATTTTCTTTGTTTACACAAATGAACAGTCTGCTGGTCGGCCTATTGTCGTTGGCAATGAAAGAAGAGAGCTTGTTTTATAATAAAAAAAATATAATTTTTAAAATCTTATATTGTCGACCGTCTTTGTATCTGTCGTATTCGTGTCTCGTCAATTGTTTTGTCTGTCCTAATTACATCTTCTAAGCGGCCAGCAAGTCCCAGCCAGTCCTGTCAAAAGAGGCCGTAAACACAAACAAAGTGTTTTATAGACCATTTATATTTTTTTTTTATTTAAGACAGAATCTAACAATTTGTATTATATATAAATACATAGTTAATTAAACTCTAACTTCACACAATAATATAGAAAATCTCACCATATAACCCATCCAGTAATAATCATCATAGCTTCAGAGAGAGAATGGAAGAAGTTTTGGAGGGGACGACTCTTATCCCCCATCTTGCCGAGTGTTATGCCCAATACGATGCTGAAGCACACCAAACCAAGCACATTGCTGCCGCTCTGGTAGTCACCCTCGATTTTATATGTTTCCAGATTACCTAAAATACCAGTAGTATTAAACATAATAGGATAGAGGATTCTTAGTATTGGGGTCTAGTTACCCCATTGCTGACAATATTAAATGGACAACTACGCGAAGTCACTGGAAGTGATCTTAGTTAATTCAACGATAGCCACGATAGCCTAACTGACAAAATTTCACGGTTGTCATACAAATATATCTATAATATAATAATAATATCCCAGACAATTAACACATCACCATCTAGTCTCAAACTAAGCAAAAACAATCATAGTCATTAAAATACCACGAACAGGAATCGAACCCGTGACCATTGGAAGTAATCTGTATCTATATATACCTTTGATCGCTTTGCTGTCATTCTTGTCATACACCAACCTAGTTCTGTACGTCGCTATCGTAGCCTGCACAATGTTCTCTGGAAATACGTTCCTGAAATAAATTACAAAACCATTAAGTTACTCAAATATTAACTCTTCTGCGTAGGATATAATATTAATAACGTAATTTAATTCGAGCGAAAGCCCTACACAACATTGAATTTAAATATCCTCAACACGGTATAGTATAGTATAGATCTGTGATCACCTCACGGATACATATATAGATTTTAGAAAATAATAATGTGAAAAAAGGAATAGTAACAGAAAGAGTGAGTGGTATGAGAAAGACAGACGAAGGAAGTGGGAAAAACAAAAAATAATAGTAGAAAATTGTCGAATACGAAACGGCTTGACTGATTTTGATGAATTTTATATGCATATTCGGTAGGTCTGATAAGCAGTTACTAACTACTTTTCATACCCCTAAGTGATAACGATTGTTCACCCCAAATATTTTATTTTATAATATGGCATTAAGAATACATACCCTAAACTTTCACCTTTCTATCAACAACCCCTATTTTTTAATAGCGTTTTTAATTTATATAGCGAAACAATGTTTGCGGGGTCAGCTAGTATTATTATAAGCAGCAATTGTATTAGTTTATTATTTGAGACAAATAAACATGACGATTATCATTATTATTATTATATAATTTTCCTAGCTCTACCCGCGACTACGCGGGACACGCGACGTGGAATTTAACTTTATTTTTCTAAAATAAAAAAAATCTAAAGTAAAAGTAGCCTAAGTTACTCCTTATTACATCAGCTACCTGCCAAAAAAAGTCTCGTCAAAATCGGTCCAGCCATTTCATAGATTAGCCGGAACAAACAGACCGACAGACAGACAGACAAAAATTATAAAAAATGTTATTTTGGTCTTATTCATGTAGTAAAAAACGATTTCAATTTCAATATTACAAACAGACACTCCAATTTTATTTATATGTATAGATTAGACCAAAAAACTCGTACTCGTATGACAGTTCACATACAATTGATTTCTTGATTGATACTGAACAAATGACTGCGAATTTGTCAAATGGAGAACGATTCTTTTGAACAGGGGCTCCAGCTAAGTAAATCTACGCCGACGACGATTAGAGTGAATGATTGAAGGTGGACTGCTTCCGTTCGTATTGTGTTTTTTGAATGGAATAGATTTATGGCACGTGTCTAATGCGTCGATATAAATTATATATAATATATATGTGTATTGGTTTACTGCGAAGTATTAATACTTTTTATTTTACACTATTATATTTATTCCATATATATTTAAATGAAATTAGATATATATTTGACCTACATTTATAACATACATGGTATATTTGTGACCTACCAGCTTGTAGAAGTAATTAAAAAAATACCTAAATTACGTGTTAAACAGATATCAAAATCTTACATCATATATCGTATTCATATTTCTATATATCGGAAAAAAACTTAGTGTATTTTCAACCATATAAACTAAATTACAATTGAATTTATGTGTATGTAAAACATAATTGATTGAAATGTTTTTCAGCTTTCACGAAAGTATCAGTTCTTGAGCCGAACTGAGTTTAAGTAAAAAATATTCTATTTTCAAAATACATAAATATTGATCACGTGATAAGGCTTAAGTAATTTAAAATGTTTCGTTTATTCACCGATTTCCGTTGAACCGTTCCCGCCATTTTACATGTATTCACAATTAAAGGTTGTAAAATGGCGGGATTATTAAATCTTTTTTTACATATTAGAATAAATGTTATATATTTTACTACTACTAATAAAGTGTGATTTCATAAATGAAAACAAAAAAATACTTTTTTTATTTCTTAAATGTTTTATCGGATTGTGTATATATAATTGGGACTTGACAATGATATATAAGTTTTGTTTTCAAAGCTTAATTTTTTCCGTTAGGTACCTACATTACTAACTAGTATTACTTTTTAGATAAAGTCAGGCGATTAAGTTGGTGGTATTATAAAAAACTTCACGTTTTTTATGATAAAGGTATGTTCAACTACTAGCGGATATTATAATAACAGTTTTTGTAACGAACAATTTTACAATATGCCCCAAAAAATCCTCGAAATTGAGCAAACGATACGAAGTCCCGTTGCCATGGCGACTCCGGATGGTTAGAATCAATTCTAATTGAATTCAGCATTACAAGACCTGCCAGTACTTAGGCGTCCTTTGTTATCTCCCATCTTTTGTACAAGCAATTCTACATAATTTCCTCAGCAATGTTATAACAACCAATAAGAATGAAGTCGGTTAGTTAGTTGGTAAGGATGTGAAACAATATTCAATTATTTAAAGAATAATTTTTAATCGTCGGAACCCCGGAGCAGAGAGAAAAAAAAGAATAAAATCTGCTTTAATAAGAATCTTTTTTTCAACCGATTTTTTAAGATAAATAAGACTTAAAAGTGGGACGCCCAAATCGAATAACAAGAGTAAGTGGCGTAAAAATAAAAAAAGCATTTTTTTTACTTTTAAACAAATAACTCCATAATTATCATGTTCAGTCGATACCAATAAGATTAAACCAATACATGTATAAAGGTACGGTGCCAAAAAAGATTTTATATGACGTAGACACCTGGCATTTTGTTCTCCGCCAATCTACCGCATCGCTTTATTGGATTGATCTTTTAGTTAGGGTTGGCAATGTCACAAAAGAAAAAAATCTATATAATTTAATTTCAAAAAAATCTATTCCATATAATTTCTTCGTAATAATCTATTTCAGATATGGCTTGTTTATTTTAATAAAATTAGACCAAATTACGAGTGATAAAATCATTATTGTTATTTATCTACTTATGGATCTAAAAGAAAAGATATAAGCAAAAAAAATACTATATATCTTATGAAGACTAATAAAGATATTATTAATTTTATTTTGTTCATAATGTAAAATTTTACATTATGAGCAAAATAAAATTAAAATACAAAATGAATTTCGTATTAGTAATTAATATGCTAGTACAATTTAAAGAATGCCCTACATTATCTCATAAGGCCATAGCTAATTGAAACTATTATATCATACATTTCTAAGAACTCTGCTAGTGACAACCCTGGATCTGCGTATCTAGGGCGTTATATAAATAGCGCGCACTAATGAAGACTGACGACCAGGGAACCGTCACCGGGATCATTTTACTGTACAATTGTCAATTACACTGATAACATATTGTTTTACGAGTACATTGCGTGAACACTGCGGATTTAGCTGATATGTTTGCAAGTAAAACCGTAATGTGTCACGTTCTTCAGCAAACTACAGATGTTATTGCGAGTAGTGTTATGGAATTACAATGAGGTGTTAAGAAGCTGCAGTGAATTGAATCATGCAATTGTCGACTTGAAGTAGGATTGCATTGTAAAACTACGCATTATTACATGCACACAAAACGGTCATATTCAAGGAATTACCTAATATAATGAAAGAGACATCTTCTATACCATTACATTAAAATTGACAGTTTCTGCTTTCACGTAAAAATATCTGGAAAATTACGATGATGTGTAAACAGAATTTGTCGTTAAAAATCGATCAACATATAGGCTAAATAAAGTTGAGAAAGATATCTCGCAAAGCGAGTTATAGTTATATGATTTTTTTTAATTAGCCACTTACAAATTTATAATTTAATTCATCAATAAAATAATAGATGGAGCTGTATATTGTTTACATTATTCATTGGTATTATTCGTGGTTCAAACATTTTAAACCAATGGAAAATGTACGAAGTCTCGAACACCACTATCACAGATAACATAATATTACATACAGATACCCCATCCCATACAAGAAAATGGTTCCTTCCTAACTCGGGCTATTCTTCGGGCTATTTTATTTCGCCGTCGTAGCCGCTAGATGTCTCTAGATCTGAAGCAGTTCGGATTACTAGTGGGTGCTTAGTAACAAAGCACGAAAATAGATGGCAGTCAATTCAGTCTACATGACATCTGTTTTGCAAAGATAGGTATATACAAGATATGTAGGTAACTGTATCGTGTACCTCATTAGGGACGATTCAAGATTCAATGTAAATGTGTAGGTATAATATCGTTAGCCGACACTCTGCAGTTATGGCTTATGTGCCAATGTATATACCTATTATGTTATGGTTTATTTTACATTCCATGCCTATTTTTTTGATATGTTGTAACGCGTCTGCGCTATACGTATAGCCCGATTTTGATACGTTTATACTCGTACGTATCAACATCGGGCTATAAGATTTTTTATTTCAATCGTTATGTGTAAGAGACTGGTTTTAGCTACAATGAATTTACTGGTATATACCTCATGTATTCTACGATGTACCCCTCTTTTCCCTAATGAGAATTCCGCTATATCTTATATATAAACTTCGTATCACAGTGTTAGTTGCCATATTTCTCCCACATTTTGATGAAATTTGATATGTATACTTGCTAGGTCTGAGGTAGGGTTGTTATCTATTTTTTATACCCCTGAGTCATAGGGGTGGTCTACCCTGATTTTTTTTTTTGTATTATGGACAATTTTTTATTTATTTATAATGTTACATACACGCCTAAATTTTGGCCCGTCTTTCACCAACCCCTATTTTTAATAGCGATATTCTTACAAATATTATAAATGCTAAAGTAACTCTGTCTGTTTGTCTCGCTTTCACGCCCGTTACACGTTAGAAATGTGTAACGGGGGAACACGTTACTTAGTACGAAATTATGTATATTGCAATAAAACTTAACGAGAAAATATTATAATGATGTCACTGGAACACTCATTGCTTTACTACTATACCGTCCATTAGTCGCGAACTTTCTGGATGCGCGAGAGGCGCGCTCCTATTGGTCCGTCGGTGCGGTTACCGCACGACGCGCATGCGCTGTATGCTTAGATGAGTCTCACGGCACGGGCGTAAGTACTTACTATGTAATATGTATACATATGGGTGTCACAAATGTTTTTATTACAAGTAATATTACTCTATTATCTAAGCCTGCTGTGTGCTTATTTTGAACTTGATAATATTCAGAATTACTTGTATACATAACTTTCGATATCTACAATAATAATATCTTTGATGTATGAAAGAAATGTATGTACCTACATTAAATGATAATTTTTGACATGTATGAAATGTATGAAAGAAATGTATGTACCTACATTAAAATATAATTTTTGAAATGTATGAGATGTATGAAAGAAATGTATGTACCTACATTAAAAGATAATTTTTGACATGTATGAAATGTATGAAAGAAATGTATGTACCTACATTAAAAGATAATTTTTGACATGTATGAAATGTATGAAATGTATGAAAGAAATGTATGTACCTACATTAAAATATAATTTTTGAAATGTATGCACCGTACAATAACAATACACGTTAAACATAATACCACAGAGTCATACGCAAGTTAAAAACAAACTGCTATGATATTAATGAGAAAGGAAAATCAACTTTATGGTATTCGAGTTAGGGTCGATTTCTCTCTTTTTTTTAAATACTATTTTAATCTTGCCAGTATTCAAAGACAACTACGATTCGTACTCGATATTTTAAATTATTATGTAATCGATTTTTAGTACAAATGTAAATAACCAACGACACTAATAATGTACTACTATATTCCGTTCTTTGAAACGGAACACTGCTATACCTAATACAAAATAATGAAAATTTACTGTTCACAACGACTCATTAAAAGCATCATCGAATAATGCGCTGTAATAAAATCCTGTTATCGATTATTAAAAAAAATCGATAATACATGTATTTATTTTTAATATGACAACACTTCATACATAAGTATTATTGGAAATAGTATTACTTGCTTGTTCGGCTATTTTTAATTTACTTAAAATTTTTTTATATGTTTAATTTACAATAATGATATATTAAGTGCTTATTATTGGAAAATATAAAAAAGACATTTAATTAGGCCGATACAAATGACAACAATGCCATCTATGAAAGCATTTTGAAAACATTGAGCCCCGTATTAGCACTGAAAATAACAAAATGAGTAAATATATGAAAATTACTTTTCTAAACGCATTATTTCATTTTAACATGTATATATAACTTTTTAAAAATTGATTAAACATTTTTGTAAACACAGTTTTGTTTTTTAAAACGTTTGCAAAACTATGAAGAATTCCATCGATACCAATCACGCCATCTATATGCAACTTTTAGCAATAATAATGGCTACTTCCTCACGGATTGCCACTGCCACTATTAATATGTTTGTTACTATTTTTAATATTTATAGGTAATAATGACGTTATCTGCCCATTTATCTACTTACCTACTTCTTTCAAACCACGCAAAGTATTTAGATACTGTTTTCACAAACATTATTAGAACCAATACATTATATGGACTATACTATATCTGAAATCAATAAGTGAGATTATTTGTATTTTTTTTTATTTCTTTTAAAATTTAGGGACTTCTGTACAAACTAAAAGTACATGCCGGTCCCGTTGTACTCTAAAACTAATTACTACATTACCCTGCCAGTGAACAAATTTTATTTGTAGTTAACATTCAACAACTGTGTTGTCATAACAAAATTTGTAGTAAAAATTATTATTATCTCAAATGCGAGATCATATATTACAGATATTGTATGTTCGTACCATATCTATGATACTGGTATTTATATCTATCTATTATATCTAGTATATCTTTCCATTAATTCATTACTGTATAAAAGTTTTTATGTAATTAGAATCCCTAACAAGCTAATCGCCCCGATTAGCTTAGATTCTAATTGAATATACTAATCCTGGCATATTCTGCTAGTGATTCAGTGCTTCCTGTTTGTTTATTAGTTTGATATGTCCCAGTTTTAGGCAACGAGGCAAACTACAGAAGGGTTCACGGCCTTGTTGGACGGTTTTTACCCTAACTTTGACAGATGGTCGGCATTTTTACGGCCTGAAACGTTTGAGTACACGGGAACCCATCTCAGTATAATATTACCCGGAGGACTACAAAAGTCATGCCGGAATATTAAGATATCATGGCTCTACGTGCTTTAATATTCCGGGTACCTACCGCGTCACTTGATAACATGATTTTCGTGGCATTGCTCATTTGTATAGGCGACGGTTGCCACTCTAAAAATTGGCACTACATACATCGTTTGAAATACTGTGTTTAATTTAATTGCAACAATTCATTTGCTTAATTCTCGTAATAAGTGTTATATTGCGGTTTAATTTCGCCATCCTGTTTCCATGCCGTCGAAATAGGATAGTTCGTCTTTTGGAAAATATATGCAGAACCATACAAATTATAAATTGAGAACTTTTAGATGTCAGAACTTTTTGTTTACAGAGTCGAAGAAAAATAAATATTTTCTATTGAATTAAATTTAGTTACATGCACGTTTTAGAGTTTTTCATCCTATAAATAAATAGATTAGGTATCTTGTTCTTTGTTTCTTGTAATTTTGGTAACTCTAGTTTAATGTTTTTTTTATTACCATTTATATGTTGCTGTGAGCCTCATCATTGTTGTGTTGTGATATGTGATCTAACAAATGTTCTATTCTATATCTTCAAAACTCTCATCCTAGATCCTACAATTTACAACAGTTCAATGATTCCAACTACCCCATAGTTGAGATCATTGTAAACTGGTGGTAAAAAACTTGAAATAAACGTGGCAAGTTACAAATTTTAATTTGTTATCGGTGATTCTATCACTAGAGTGTCAGTCTGAAATATAGATTGACATATATTTTTTTAAGCTCAAAATACCGATAGCGATAGGGAATTTTTGTAATATATAATTCATAAACAATTACATTTATTTATGCACAAAATAACAATCATAACCCAACGACAACAACGACACATCGAGCTATACTTTTTTTTATTTATTAAGTTATGCTTATTTTCCATAGAGTAAAGATCCGGGATAAATCTTTTTTTGCATTTTTAACTAGCTATAATTACCTTCTTCTATATTTTTTTTGTATCCGCCAGTTTCGAACTTACTATTTAAATTTTACTATATTAATAATTACAAAAAATGTACACCTTATGAGATCCAATAACGTGTCCGAAGTAAGCGTGTCCTTGGTGATAATTTTGGTGGTGTTTGGCTGCTTGAAAGCCTCTGGGTCTTTGCCGGGCTTGATGGTTGTAACTAACGCGATACCCAGCATCACGGCGCAAATTGTCGTTGTCATGTAGTACATGATGGCTCGAAGACCGACCCTGTATAAAACATAATGGTTTCTATAAATCTATTCGGCTTTTACCACTGATTTATCAAAGTAACTAAACCTTTTTTTTTTCACGTCAGGAAAATCCTTCATGGAGAACCATTCCAAGGGAAGAATGGATACAGCCGGACTCCTACCTACTAAAAACCTGACGACTGTTCCTCCTCTACCTCCTCGACATTATCGCCGTGGTCATGGGATACGCAAGCATTCACCAAGACCACCGGCATGGTTCCCATCGAAGGGACCTCCATCTAGGCGTGCAGAGAATAGTGTCTGCACGCCACCTCCAGACCCTAAAACCTCCCCGGCGAGCTTCGGATTGCCCTAACAAAGTAATTAAACCTAATGCAACCCGTATTAATACCTTCAATCTCATATATGCTATTTATTTAGTATAGGTTCAAAACTGAGTTGTTAAATAAATGAAAATCATATTAAGAAACCGTTAAATGAATATCAATTATTGAAGTTACTTTTTGTTAATATTATATACATACATAGATAATACATATTCAAGACATATCATTACAAACACAACATTGATTGAGCGGGTGTCGCACCCGTCTGTACGGTGAAACACTCGAACGTATTAATCTGATACACCATTGAGAAAACATATCATTATACACACAAATTTGCATTAAGCGGGTATCGAACTCGCTACTATTGACTATCCCGTGAAGCACCGCAGTGTACAATCTTATACACCATAGAGTCATAGATAATAGCTGTAATAAACCGAATAATAGTGTATCAATTTAGTTTGTTGCTGTTCTGCGAACTAATTCGTTAGCTTTTTCGGTACATACTATTTGCAACGAAATATGCAAGATATCTGCGAAGTACGAAGAGGGAAACTCTTCCAACTTAGTTCTTTTGCAAATTACACAAATTTTGTAAAATATCATAAAACGAAATTTAACTCACTTGCCAGAAAGACTAAGATCTAATGATCCTATCGCCGACACGATTGATGAGACTAGCAATGGCACTATCAAGCACTTGAGCATCCTCAAAAAGAGTTCCCCGGGGTATTGGAAGTACATGACCTCCCGCCGAGACCACTCATACCCAGAGACCCTCAGACCCCAGCCCAGGAGCGTGCCAGCCACCACGCCGATCACAGTCATCAATGTGAGCAGGTTCTCCCGCACAAAGGCAGGACACCCGTTTCGTCGGATTTGGAGAGGCATGTTTGAGTCGCCGTTGTTTCTGTAACAATATAATAATATTTATTTTATTCTTGACTAGTTTATTCTTGATTACCCGTGACGTTATTTGGTCGTATTAAACTAGTATATAATATTAGACTAGTATACGCGTTTTAAGGTCAGGAAGAAACCAACATCATTCCTTAACAATTTATGCCTTTCGAAACGGAAACATTAAAAGTATCTTAGTTTTTATCCATCGGTAACTCGCCGTACTGTAATATCACGTGCTTTAAGGATACTTTTTTAAGAAATTTGTAAATAAGTCTTAAGTATTTTATTTACAGGCAACTCATATTCAACCATCAAGTACCGTAAGGCTATTTTTCTAAGAAACTTGTAGAAAACTCTTGTATAGGCCTATTTTAGTTAGACGGCCTTGGTGGTCTAGTGGTTTAGTACACCGCCTTACCACCGATGGTCGCGCATTCGGTTCCTCGCACAACACAAACATTTTGTATTCATAAGTGTGATTGTTCGTATCGATCTAGGTGTTTTCTATGTACTTATGAAAATAATCTATGTATTTGTATCAGTTGTCTAGTACCCATAACACAAGCTTTACCTAGCTTAACTTGGGACTAGATGGCGCTGTGTGAATTGTCCTGTGATTATTATTATTAATAACGTAGCCAAAAATGTAACCATTGACCTAATTATAATAATTTAATAAAGAATGCAGTCTGTCGACTCGAAAATGCGCTCGTCGCTCCAATTCATTCCTGGTTAATATTATTAGTCATGTTGGCACTTGGCAGACGCGAAATACTATTGTAGTCACTTCGGATGCCCACGTGGCAGTAGTTTTAGTTGTCTGCACTAAAATATAAACACACTTTTGAACTGAATCAAAGTTACACTACATTGGATAAGCTTAAAAATATTTAGAATTATCAATACAATATTGCTATGACAAAGTTTTAAAAGTGATTTAATAGTTTGGTAATATCAAAAATAAAAAGTAAATTAAAATTAGCTTATTAATAAATTTAATTTATTTCACTATTTGTGAAGATGTTTTATATGTTGTCACTAAACATATAGTTAGTATGTTATATCTAAACTAATAAAAGAGATATTTAAACTTTTACAGAAACCTAGAAGTTGAGTAGGTATTATGAACTTGTTTTATTTATATGACATTATTTGCAACATATAGGTATGGGGAATGGTACTGAGTTTCATCAATATGCTATCAAGTAATAGGGTATTTTCTATTACAACTAATCAAACAATTAATTTTGAACATTTTTTTTGCATTTACTTCATTACATTATCTTTTACCTTCACGCTAGGTCTCTGACGTAATACGCAGAGGAAATCGAGTGCTGTGGATTCATATGTATACACAACTTTTGTTTCATTTATTTTCACATGGGAACTCCATTGCAGTCTTTTGTATGGGTATGTCAACTAGCATACAATCTAACTGATCACAATAAGTTGGCCTAGGCTTAAGGCATACAGGGAATGTAGATTCTATTGTAAGCATTATTCTCTAATAGCAGAAATTCCTCTATCTACTGTTATATATTTTCAAAGGTCTATGATTTATTTGAGCATTTGACCATGTAACTTTTTGTCTTCAGCCACAGATTAGTCAGACAGACGTCCTACTTTTGGCGGGATAATACTACTTTTAAGCTGTCTGTACTGTTATCTCCAGGTAGATCAAAAATGTATAATTTTAGCAACTGGGTTCAGGTGGCAATCTGTGGTATGTTTACAGACATTTACGAAAGTCGTAGACGTTGTTATAAGTTATAAAAACTACTATTTTTACATATATCTATTACAATCACTGGCTACGTACGTACGTAGTTTTATCTCAGGGTCTTAGACGCGTGTTAGAACTTTTCATTTAACAAAGTGGTCGAATATTTAAAAAGATTGAACCATTATAAAGTACTGCTTTCATGTTTCCATTTAAAAAAGCCCACTTTGACAAGAAAAATAATGATTTCGTGAGTCATATGTCTATGAATAAATGATTTAAGACGACTAATGAATTAAACTATTTATGTTACAATTATAATTAAATATCTCGGCCAGACACCCTATTCAGGGTCACTAGTTTCGTTGGCAACATATAGAGTTCGTGGTAAATATAGACGTTCACAAAACCAGAGAATTAACGGCTAATGGCTGGTGGAAAGAGATTATTAGTAATGGACGCTAGTGACCCAATTGATTGCAATATACGTCATGAAGTCAATCTCCAAGAGGTTTTTCTGGAAACCTTGTATATTTTTCGGCGAATTCGCCGCGATGGACTAGCTGACTTAAGTTCATGCTCCAATGATATGAACTCGTGTCAGCTAGCCCATACGCAGCGTACCGTTAGTGTAGGCGGCTACACTATTCCACTATCACCCATTCGACTCTATTTTACTATTCCCAAAATTGATTTCTACCCCGAATTTTCAATGTGCTTAAATTAATTTAGTAGCAGAAATAACATAATTTTGTGCTAAATTTTACAGGTGTTATAGCTAGATAAATTGTGTCAATTTTAAATGTAACGATATGGTTGTGTTGCGTGTGATGCGCCTGCGCACGTGGGAGCAGGCCGCTGGCTGGAGGACCCCCCGCGCGGATGTTGGCACGGAAATCTTTATTTAGTGGTATCGCGATCAATCCGCGACTCCCCTCTGTCGCTCACACGCACTCACTGATGGCCTAGTGCCTACCTACACATACAATCATACCTGTCTTATGATGATTTCAAAGTAACCTTGTTGGATAGTGTATGTGTTGGAAACAATTTTAAATATCTTATACTTTAAATCATATTTATTGAGGAAAGCTTGTTACTAAAAGATTACTTAAATTACAAACGTGCATGGCAATAGCTGTTTATACACGGGATTTTCATTTAATGTTAGACATAATAGAAATAAACTGGCTATAGAAAAAATCTGTTGAGTTTCATGCCAGTTCTTCTCAATTGAAAAATATTTATTACAAAAAACTTGACGTTCATAAGCGGCTAAACTATCTCACATGAATAAATGATTTATGATTTAATTTAATTTGATATATTTTGATGTTATTTATAATAATTATTTTGTTTACATTGACATTCAGTAACTAAAATATTTGCGACTATATTAGTGCCGTTTTTGCTTTTTGCTCTCGTCTCTCGTTTCAGTGCCGGTAAGACATCCACTAAGTTTTAATTATTATCACTTGCACTTATTACTTTATCCTTATTTTTTATGTCATTTTTTAAGTAACAATATATTTACAATATAGATTATTTATTAATTTAATATTCCTATAATATAATAAATATTACATATATTTTGTAACACAAATAATTTGTACGTACTGAAAGCAAGAATAACGATGTTGTTTTAGTCTTTCAGTTGAGAATTTAAATGTAGAACAAATTAGACTCTGTAGTTTAGTAGGCAAAATACGAGGACTATTATACTGAGCTGAGATAAAACGAAATTAGAATATGTCCTAAAATACTAATGAGTATAAAAATTAAGACATCCGATTAACATCCATAAAAAAGCTACCTTTTTTTTTTCGGTCTACTCTAATGCTGTTGGCCGTAGCTGGCCTTTACAGCTTCACCGGACGTTAGGGGCGAGTGCAGATGGCACTCCAAACCCGCGGAAGGACTTATGGAGCGGCTGAAGGCTAACTCTTGCCTGACGGATACGACTTTAGTCTGAGGGCACCACTAGGGGTTCGAACCTCGGCTTAGGCCGTCGTAATTTCGATCCCCGTTTGAATTGGACGGGGGATCGATCGGAGGGGGAAAAAGCTACTGAGAGAAACTGGCATATAGGCAATACCACTGTATTGCCTATACTTCTATACATTAAAATACCTTTAGACTGTATAATTAAAACTTAAAAAATCTATGACCTTGATTATCCCCGAAAATTGGTAAATCTAAATAGATTTACATGTTTTCCCTGAATACATAAATATCACTGTGAAACTACCGCATACTTTCGTAATGTAGGTACTTTAGAAAATACCCATTAATTTATGTACCTAGTTATTTATAATCCTTTATTGCACTAACATTAAAAGCAATTCCATTGAAAAATATAACAATTGATTAAAAAAAGAAGAAGGTACGGAAGGCGGTCTTACTGCTAACGCAATATCTTGTAGACAACATTAGAAAAAAGAGTATTACTAAAAATAAAGTACGTAATCTAGTCTAATCAATGTTGTTGAATGGTTATCAAATTACTTAAAAAAAGGTTCTCAATGTGCTGTATATTCTATGTGTGTTAACTTAAAATTTGTTTATGTTCCCATATGGAGATATGGGAATGTCACAACTGCCCAATAGTTTTTGTGTTATTCTTAATAATTATTCAATATAAATAAAGTAATTGGCATCGCTTATTATAATCAGCAAATCTTATATTAGTAACTAAATGATTACTTAAAGGACAAACGTGCATGGTAATAGTTATTCATGCACGCGATTTTAATTTATAATATAGGTTATTGGCACAAACTGGCTTTTAAAAAGAGAAATTCAGTTGGATTTCCTGGCAGTTCTCAATTGAATCTACTCGTATTTATTAAAATAAATTGACGTTCATAAAGTGTCCTAAATTAAATTAAATATTTTTTATTTTGAATTCATTTAAAGTCTGGTTTTTCGTGGGTTAAACGGTATATTAATTTCAGTTGCTTACCATTAAAATAAAAAGATACAAATTCATTACATATTCACTAAATTAAAGACTGACTGAGCATTACTCATTCACTACAAAATATTAGTTTAATGACATAAATACAACTGATACACCTTTCCTTTTGCGACCAATTTAATCCACAACGATGAAAAAAGAAATAATCTACTTCGAGGAAGGAAGAAAGAGAAAGTAGATTGTAATGAAAAAAATATTGATTGAAAATTTCAACGACAAAGCGTCTGTTTCCCCTTTACTTACACCAAAACTTTTACTAAATATCATAGGTTTATCAAATTCAATAACTTGCCGTAACTGACC